CCTTTCCGTCCGGGCTCTCCCTTCCCCTCGTGCTGCCGTTTCCGGGGGGCCGGGCGGCGCTGCTGGAGGGGGGGTCCTGAGCCCTGCCCGCGCCAGCAGAGCTGGACAGGGACCAGGCGAGGCAGTAGGTCTCGTCCTCTCCGCACTGCTCCAGGTTTTCCCTCGCTAGCTGCTAGAGCCCCGGTATTTCGCGGCACGCACCCGGTCACACGCACACACTTGGGCGGGGGGGCAAGCCGAGGGATGGCAAGAAGAAGCTCCACCTCCATTGCACATTGCACTAATTAGTACACTATTTACCAAGTGCCACGACACCCTGGGCCTGATCCTGCGCTCGCTGCTGGCGGTAACGCCGCTGGTGCCGTGGCTTCGCGTCACTCCGGTGTGCAGGGAGCTCAGACTCGGGGCCTCCCCGGGCGCCTGGCAATGCCCCTTAGACGAGCTGGCCCTGGCACTTACGGGGCCTGAGACTGGGGTGGTTTCCTGGGGTCCCATCCCGGGAGAGGCTGTCCGTGCCGCGGGTGGGGAGGGCGCGAGCACCGTGCTGCGGAGCCTGCGGCCCCCCTGGCAGCCGGGCCGGCGGCCTGACTCCGAAGCAGGATTTCCAGGTGACAGCCGAGGCTGCTGTTGCTGGTGCAGCCGTGGAAACGAGCTCTCGGTCCAGAAGGACCCCCTGCCAGATAAGACCTTGTCACAGCAGCTGGCGCGCTGTGCAAAGCCCCCGTGCCGCTCCAGCTTTCAAAGATGCCGAGCAGCTGCGAACGCCGCGGGAGTCTCTGTGGCCTGCCCGTGCCTGGCACCTTTGAAAAGCGGGACCCTGCGGCACGGTGAAACGCTCTTCATCTCGGCTTCAAAACCTGCAGCAGAAAGGGAATTCGTTTCCAGCGGGAGCGCAGCGAGCTCGCGGCCCTGCACAGATCTGCGCGTGCGGGGGGGAGCGATCAAGCGGCACGCTCAGGCAGAGGCGCAAACCCAGGCGGAGGATGTCGAACAAGCCCCAAGCACAGCTGGAACCGCGGCCGTGCCCGCGCGGGCCGCGCGCCCCTCTCCGCGCAGAGCAACACAGGCGTGCACCACAGCTGCCCGTTTTCCACGCCGGCTGCCGAGCCAGAGCCCGTGGCGGCAGGAACAAAAGGCAAACACGGTGTTAGCTTGAGGGAGCCCTCCCCTCCCCCGGGTGATTTCAACAGCAAACAACCTCGGTGTCTAGGGGTCCTTTTTATTTCCCTTTTATTTCATTTCCCACGGAGCGGCAGCGGGGCATCCCGGGGGGGCCGTGCACGCTATTTGTTTAAGCCGCAGCGCTCCTTGGAGAGTCTGCCTTCGCCGCTGTTTGAAAGCAGCACGCGCAGCAGGAGACAGCGCGCGCATCCGTAGCCAGGCCGCCCCGCGCTGCGCCGGGCAGCACGAAGCCCGTGTGGGTCCAAGTACCCGGGAAAGCGCTGTCAAGCCAGGCAACGAGCTGAACCTGCTCTGGGTTTCACGGCCTGTCGTGTGGTTCGTTACACCAGAAGGCGCTGCTCGTGCTCGGGGTTGTATAAGGAACGAGCTCAACTCATTTGTCAAATGGAGACCGCGGGCCGGGTTCGAGGAGTGTCACATTAGTTCGCACGGCAGCGAGTGCCAGGTTGCATTAGCCTGATTAGCTTTAAAAGCAGCTTCTGACATCAGACGCGTCTTCACGGACCTGCGGATCCAGAACGGACTCCGTGAAGATGGGAAATACATCGCAGGGGCGACTTGAAATGGCTTCGTGCGATATTAAAGTGTCATTGCTGCTGCTAAGCAGAAGCCGTGTTGTTCTGCAGGGCAATGCAGGGCGATTCATGGGCTCGGAGGGGAGGTCGGGGCTTCTCCCGCGGCCCCCAAGGGACGCCCAGGACTTCGTTTCGTTTGCCTGCGAAGCCTCTTTCTCCTTCTTGGTTCAGTCCTGCCAAGGGGTGAGTCCCACCCTGGGATCTGTGTTATCCTCCAGCCCCAGGGAAGACTTGGGGCCGGCGACACCGGGTCTGTCTGCACCTCCCCGGGTCGAGGCCTCCCAGCCAGGGGCCGTGACTGGGCTTGGAGAAAGCTGGGAGAGGCCGGGGGGCACCTGCCACGAGGCCACGTGGCGAGGCCTGAGCTTGGGCAGCGGAGATGCCCCCGGTCCTGGCCGGCCGCCTCGCAGGAGGAGCCGTCTGTTGATGTCGAAGCCCCGGCAAGGGCGCCCGTCTCACCCCAGCCGTGTTCGTGGCCCCTCCTGGCACCCCGACCGCACCCGGGGTGGCGCAGCTAGTGGCATTGAATTACCCGCCGCCAACTCGCCCGTGCTCTTTCCACGGGGCCTTTTCCCAGAGAGCAAAGAGCTTCGAGAGATCCCTGCCGGCATGTCGTGACCCACCCGCCGCGGGCCTGGGGCTGGGCAGGGGAAGCAGCTCCCGCTCGCCCCCAGACGAAGCACCGTGGCCCGGCCGAGCGGTGCCGCCGGGTTCGGGCGCTGAGCCGGGTCCCTTCCCCGCGCTCCGGGGGCAGCTCGCAGCGCCGCCAGGCCGAGCGCCCCGAGTCGGGCTCCCACGTGTGACTGTGGGCCCCCACTGGGCCACGCTGCCCTGCTCGCCCCGGTCCTACAGGTTTCTTTTCGATGTGGGCACCGTCCCGGACCCCGGGAGGAGACGCCGAGCACCGGGTGGAGAAGAGACTGCTGGCCCCTCCACAGCCCCCGGGCCCACGGCTGCCCCCCGCCTCAGCCCGGCTTGCGAGCGGTCCCTTTGCTGCGTGCCCCGCCGCGCCCGCGCGCCCAGCTACATGTGTCTGCATTTGTAATGTGCTAATTTGACAGAGGAATTATTTTCTATCTGGTGAGAGCGCGAGCAACCTGCTGCGAGAGAGTTGGGTTAATAACTTTCCTTTTCTTTTTTTTTTACTATTTAAATGTCAGCATTACAACACACAGGAAATTGAATTTTTGTATTTGATTTCAATTAGCAAAGCATAAATTATATTTAATTTTATACACACAGACTGGATGATTCATTGTGCTGGAAAATCTGGTACTTTATGGTTCAGAGACTGGAAATGGAGAATTCGTCCTCCCGAAACCAAACCGCCGAGCTGCGCCCTCCTCCAACACGTCTCTGTGTGTCGCCCTGCACCTGACGGCAGAACTTGAACCCACAGCACTGAATAATAAACCGTTGTAGCAGCTGCCGCTCTCTGCTCCATTTCTCCGCGGTCTCGGGGGGCAGGGGCGGAGATTGGGGGAGTCGCAGCACTCCCCCCGCGATCGCGTGGGCCCCGCACGGGACGGGAGCCTGGGCCCGGTTTGTCCCTGGGACGCGGGAGGGGGGGATGCCTGCAGCACAGAGCAGACCCTCGGGCCCCGCGGGCGGGCAGGCAGGCAGGGAACCAGCTCTGCTGCAGCAAGAGCGTCCACAGGTGGTGGGTGCAAGGAGACGGGCACGTCGGGAAACAGGCACGGGCAGCCTCAAGTGCATGACTCGCACACGCTCCCCTGCTCCGAGAAGGTGCACGGCTAATTGCTGGGAGGTAACGACACTACCCCTGACCGGGGTGGGTGCTGAGTAGCTCCCCTCAGCTCGCCAACCTGCTCTGCAGAGCGGGCACGGCCGTGTCGCCGGCAGGCAGGGGCCTGGTGCGGGGCGCTGTGTTGGTGGGGCTGCGCAGGGCCCGAGTGCGGGGGGGCTGGGGCACCCCTCTCCCTCCAGCTGTGAATGCTGCAAGTCTCCGCGGCTGCAGGGGCCTCTCTTCCTCTAGGCCGTCCTGGCCTTGCCCCCACCCACCCCGCGGCTCCCGTTCGGTGCACAGGGCAGGGCACTGCTGCCCGGGCTCCAGAGCAGGCAACTGGTCTTGCACGGGGAGGAGGGCACAGGGAGTGTGTCGCCCAGGGGCCACATGCACCGTGAGCTGCTGCAGATGCCCCACGGCCCTCCAGACAGGGAATCAGGCTTGCACAGAGCGGTCACAGGCCCCGGCAGCCCAAGGTCTCCATCAGCCTCCAACGTGGCAGCTGCGGCCACCTCCGGGGAGTGCCAAGGACCAGCACGGCCAGGCGGGGAGCGGGGCCGGCCAGGCCTGCTCTGAGCACGGGTGCACCGGTGCGACAGGAGAGCGCGGCCCTGGGACTGACCCCGCTTTACCCTGCTGGGAGCAGCACCGGGGGGATTTCACCAGCACCCTGGGGTGCACCCCACCCCACCCCATCCAAGGAGCTCGAGGCCTGGGCCGTGACCCCCAGACCATCCTGGCTCGAGGGACTTTGCATGACCCCCCTGCCCACTGAGAGCTTGGGGGCGCGGGGCTCCCT